AATCAACCACCCAGATCTGGCTAGCGTAGCTGGGGGTCAACAACCAATGCCACAAATTTTCACAGACTGTACAGTATGTAACAACTTATTTTTCACATCGCTCGTTTCCTTTGTTCTTATCGGAGAATATATTCAATATTCCCTCTAATAATCCCCTCTACTATTCACCTGTAATGTCTTTGCAGCACAAATTAAAAAATGAGAAAAAACAACATAACGAAGGCAATATGGCATTAAGAACTATTTCTATTCTGACTCATTAATGCGACCTCGCAATGTGAAAAATAAGTATGTTATTTTGAGGCACCTCAGGTACAGTATATGTGTTTATTCACCTCGGCACTGCGCGCCCCAGTGGATAAATCACATATCCCCTCGTTGCCTCAAAATAACCTATACATAATTAATCCTGGAAAAAAAAATTAGTAAGACTTCTTAAATTTTCAAACTTTGTCTCCTCCCCCCGTATACAATGTTGGTATTTAGGTGACATGTGTTGCAAATCCACTTTACCTGAACCAACATTGCTTGGGGGGGAGGGGGGGATTTAAGGTAAATAGTTGCTAGCTTTAATTGAAAAATGCTCACATTTTTATCATATGTTTTCAAATTTGAGTGTATATTTCAAAAAGTCTACAGATATTTTTCCAAGATTGTAGTCTGTACACAGGCTATATAATCAATCAAAAGAAACTTTTTTTTCTGATAGACCAATCGAGTGAAAAGCCAGATTTTAGCTTTTTTACATGCGGCCAGACAGGCATTTGTGTCAGGTGAACATCAAGATTTTGTTGGCATCTTACTCAATTGAATATTAGTTAAAGAGTATTGTAGATGGAAATTATCGAGTGGAAATTTATATACATTTATTAGACCTGACCAGGAACATGCAGCTGCAAAAAATGCAACTTTAATGTCCCTGGCAGGAATTGAACCTGCGGCCCTGCAATTCCGGTGCAATGCTCTAACCAACTGAGCTACAGAGTCCAGTAGTCGAGCTCTAAACACAAGTTCATGTATATATACTAGGGTACTGCCATGTGAAGGTATGGGTAAATATCAAGATTTTGTTGGCATCTCACAAACAAATCACGACCTGATACTCAGACTATACATGCAAACATGTACAGTACAACTGAATTGTTCAGAGACAACGACTACAGTAAACCACATGGCCAGATTTTGAGGGGAGGTGTGGGGAGGTGGGCACTTCCCCAGAGATGCACCTCGCCTTGCACCTCCCCTTGGGAAAGGTTAAATAATAGATCAAAGTGAAATTTTTTACATGTTGCTTAGAGTCTACACTTGAAAAACTGATAACTATTCATCATCTCTGTATCAAGTGCCCTTTTGATGGAACATTTCAAAATAAACTTTGTAGTAATGTAATGAAGAGCAATATTGGATGAATCGTACAGTCATAATTCATAAATACACTGATACATATGTACAGCACATGCATACATCATGTATAGTTGACTATAATAGGGGGCTACATTCTGAGTCCTAACATTCCATGGGGGCTGTGGACTAGACGCTGCACCTCCCCTGGATATACTTCCACCTGCCCCAGCATTTCCACCAAAATCTGTCCTTGCTACACCATAGAATGAAAACATCTTCAAGTGCATCACTTACTTCAAACCTGTACCAGTCAGAGTTCCAAATAGGGTTTAAAGACTTTTTACACACTTCCGTTTTGTATACCATGTTTCCCAACTTCACCTAAACCAAAACAATTCAAATATACAAAATAACTGTGACTTTTGGGAATACACAATCGACACTCATTGAGCAGCAATGCACCCAAATGTACCCTACAATGGATCATAAAATCAAAAAATCGAATAATCTTATTAAAATTGATTAAAAAATTAATTTTACTCTAATTGCTGGTAATTATTAGACACAAGTATATTAATTACCATTATCTACATTGTCACTGTTCTGTCCGTATTCGCTGACACATGATGTCATCAAACATCGGCTGCCTAAAATTCTTGTTTTTCTCAGTTAATTTAATTATACTGTCTATACTGTAGAGTATGGATCTGGTTAAACAGGGCTCAAAACTTGTGGTATCCCGATATCCACAGGATATCAGATTTTAATTTTGGATACTGGGTATCATAAGCTCAGTATCCCAACTGGATACTAGGAAAACTTAGAAAGTGCGATAGTAGATAATCATCTAGACGTTGGGCATGTTTCCGAACTTCAGTGTCTACGGATTTTGGCAGAATATTTAAAAAAAAACATTTCACAAACGGTGCTTTCTTTCGTATCGCCGCAGTGTGTTATTTTCAATTTTTTCGAATTTCAATACATATTTTTATTATTGAAAC